AAAAAAAAAAAAAAAAAAATCCACAAATGTTAACAGTTGACAATTAGAGTTATATGAATGATGAGTGAAGACCTAAAGATGTCATTTATTCATTAAAAAGAAGCAGTTATCTATCGTGTATATTCTTGGGCTATGAGTCCACCTCTCATCTTCTGGATCCTTTGTTTATATAGCCCACCAGTGTGGGCTTTACTATTCTAATATAGATTTGTTTTTCAAAATCATTAAGATCTTTATACTATTACTCTCTCTTTGAACCTAAAATACATAGCCAAGAAAGCTTGTTTGTATTCTGTTTAGAAAGTGGGTATTTAATTAGTGCCACTTCTGTAAACACACGTTTATACTAATTACACTTGTTACACATCACCTCCAACTATACCTTTAGCAACTAAATGACTCTTCCTCATCAGGTATCATTTATGACTTGTTAGTATCAAGAGGAAATGAAATGAAGTCATACCCATTTAATTTCCCCTCAGGACTCTAAAGTTTAGTTACTATATTGATGGTGCTTGTTTGTAATGTGAAGCATTAGAAAAAAAATGAATAATTTAACAACATTATATAAAGTGATGAAAGCATGTTGCTACAGTGTGCTGTATCATGTATATACTTCTACCATAATGCTGGGAAAAACACGCTAAAATAAGAGTACAATAACAAAAATATATACCTTCAAGAAAGATGCCTTTGTTATTGTACTCTTTCTTGAAGGTATATACTAGCTAAGATTTTTTTTCCTCCCACCCGACATCTTTCTCTCCCTCCTTTCTTTCCTCCCTCCCTTTCTTCCTTCCTTTCAATATTCCTGACAGGTACTAAGCACAAAACCATGCTAGAAGCCCGGAATGGAAGTGGCACTATCAAAGCCTTTCCTAGGGCAGGAGTGAAAGGCAAAGGACCTGTTAATAAAGGAAACACAGGCCTCCAAAACAAAACATTTCACTGTGAAATCTGTGATGTGCACGTCAACTCGGAAACACAACTTAAACAGGTAAGCAGCACGTATTCTAGGAATGAAAACCAACAGGGGACACCCTTATAAGCAGGATGTGTGTGCTTTTCTCCTTTTTGTTTCTGTCTTTCTGTCCCGTCCACCCATCTATTCATCCATTTCTCCATTTACCCATCTATTAACCCACTTATCTATTATCTATTCACTGTCCTGATTTATTTATGCTTATTTTAGTTGCTTGAGGAAATACTAAAATGTAATGGATTCTGCAACCTTTCGGAAATTGTTGGCAGTGAGTTTTTACTATTCTTGTATATGAAGAGTGGGTGGAGAAGGGATATCAGATCTTTCCTCCACCAGACTTTCCACTCAAAAGTGCTGATTTTCTTTAAAGGTCAACTTGCAGTATTCCATTTTTATTTACATGCTACAACTAATTTTACACTGTGCTATTCTTTTATTTTATGTGTTTTATTATATGGTGTTGTGCTGTATGTTTAGCCCTTGCAGCCACCTGCTAAAGGGATGACTAATCATGTTGTATTCATTTTTACTATGAACAGCCTTCCAAAGAGATCACTTATACATTGCCAACTAAAGGTCCAGCCCTCATGTTGTATTTTGTTTTTTTATATATGTATGATATTTTGCTGATTTTATGCACCTTAGTTATTTATCTTCAGAATTTAAGGGTTTGACATTTGACTGTACAAATGTGAGGATAAACATTAGTATGGAAATACATTCACTCCTTCTTGGGCATCTTTGTTTATTTGCATGTAAAATTCCTTTAGACATTCCTTGCCTTTGTAAATGCTTTTCTAAAAAAAGAGATGTGTGCAGTGTTAAGAAGAAAAGCTAGGATAAAAGACACTTTTATTTGTTTAAAAATATACTAAAATGGATAGCAAAAACATATATTGAAGAGTATAAAATATATATCCTCAAGGCATCAGAATTCTAGGACAAAAGTGCATGATCTTTTATTTTTGTCTCTCTGAAATTTGCATGAAAGAATCAGTATCCTTCCGCAGGTTAAAGCAATATTTGTGAGAGGTTTTTTTGCAGATGGCTTTTTAAAAACTGTCATTTTTAATTCCTTTTAATAGCACATTAGCAGTAGAAGGCACAAAGACAGAGCTGCTGGGAAGCCCCCGAAACCTAAATACAGTCCTTACAACAAACTACAGAAAACAGCACATCCACTGGGGGTGAGTGTCACTTTGCAAGAGTACAACCTCTATTCTCAAATGGAATTACTGGTTTCTTAATTTCTTCAGACATTCTGCCACCTTTAACCACAGCCAAGTACCTTTTACCTTTTTGAGTTGAGCTCAGGTTTATCATAGGTCATAGGGAAAAGAGAAAAGCCAAACTCTTTTTTTTTTTTTTTAATTATACTATAAGCTCTGAGGTACATGTGCAGAACATGCAGGTTTGTTACATAGGTATACACATGCCATGGTGGTTTGCTGTATCGATCACCCTGTCATCTACATTAGCTATTTCTTCTAATGCTATCCCTCCCCTATCCCCCCACCTCCTGTTATCCCTCCTCTCTAGCCCCCAACACCCCCGACACAAGCCCTGGTGTGTGATGTTCCCCTCCCTGTGTCTGTGTGTTCTCATTGGCCAAACTCTTTTGAGTCAAGTAAGCAATCCCATGAAATCTGGTCTTGACTTATGTAGGTACTTTTGGAAAGAAGGTCAGCGAAAAACAAATTTTTGTGTATCTTTTTAATATGTTTAAGAGCAAAGTATTAGTATTGTACCCTCAACAATTTTGGATTTTGAATAACAGTCTCAAAGGTATAGGTTATTTTATTTAATTACTCATTCAAAGATACTCCATAAAACCCAAGGAAATATTTTGTAGGAATTTCCTCTCCCCATGACTACAAATAAGCTTTTTATATTAGTAAGTATGCTATTATAATGTCCTGACCTGGACGTTTTGGTAGGACTTTAGAGGAAATCTGTGAAACCTCCTGATATTGTAGATTAATACTGATGAACATGTAAGAACAACTGATCTATAATATAAGCTGAATTGTGCATTTTGAAACATTTATTCAAAGTAGATCTTATTACTATTTGGTGCTGTTGTGTGCAGCCAACACATGAAAACATAACTAAAGGAAAACTGCAATTATCTATTCTGAGACCCCAGTACAGGCTGACCTGTTAGTTTAGTAACATTGCCCATTTTTGTTCAAATTAAGTTATTTTAATTTTTTATCCTGAAACTTTGCTGAAGTTGTTTATGAGCTTAAGGATCTTTTGGGCCAAGACTGTGGATTTTTCTAGATATAGGATCATTTTGTCTGCAAGCAGGGATAGTTTGACCTGCTCTTTCCTATCTGGATGCCCTTTGTGTTCTTCTCTTGCCCGATTTTCCTGGACAGGGCATGAACGGGAGTGGTGAGAGAGGGTACCTTGTCTTGTGTCAATTTTCAAGGGTAATGCTTTCAGCTTTTTCCCATTCCGGATGATGTTGGCTGTGGGTCTGTCATACATGGCTTTTATTATTTTGAGATTGGCTGTGGGTTTATCATACAAGCTCTTATTATTTTGAGATATGTTCCCTCAATACCTAGTTTACTGAGAGTCTTATCATGAAGGGGTGTTGAATTTTATTGAAAGCCTTTTCTGCATCCATTGAGATAATCTTGTGTTTTTGTCCTTAGCTCTGTCTATGTGATGAATCACATTTACCGATTTGTGTATGTCGAACCAACCTCTCATCCCAGAGATAAAGTCTAATTCATTGTGGTGGACAAGTTTTTTGATGTGCTGCTGGATTTGGTTTGCCAGCAACTTGCTGAGTTTTGCATCAATGTTCATCAAGGATATTGGCCTGAAGTTTTCTTTTTTGTTGTGTCTCTGCCAGGTTTTGGTATCAGGATGATGCTGGCCTCATAGGATAAGTTACAGAGAAGTTCCTTCTCAATTTTTTGGGATGAAATAATCTGTACAACAAACCCCCATGACCCAAATTTACCTATATAACAAACATGTATATGTACCCTTGAATTTAAAATAAACGTATAAAAAGTAAAGTTATTTTACTCTTCCGTAAAGATACAATTTTAGTTGTAATTGGGAGGTGAAGAATTTTGCACAGTGGTTATAATTCAGCACCACTAGTCATAACCCTGAATGCTATCTCTGTCCAGCATAGATGCAGATTTTGACAAGCAAGTGAATGGTTCTTAAACAAACAGACTAGTCAAAATTGTGTTGCTATCAGTATGCAAACCCTCCTTCTTAACTATCGCTATGTTAATGACCCCACAAATGGGAACATTCTCTCAGGGAGAACAGGTATATTATTGATATTACTAGGTTTTGTAGAGAAGGATTGAGAAAATGTGGTTACCATTTACACAAAGAAAAAGTGGGAACTTGTCAAAATTTAGGAAAGACAAGTTTTGTTTTGTTTTGTTTTTTTACTTCTTTATTGAATGTGGAGTTTTGTTGTTTTTATTTCTTTTGAATAGTACCTCATGCAATTGGAAACAACATTCTCTATGTAACCCAGGTTACACACTTGGATAGATGAATGGCATTTGACAGCATTAAAAATCTCTTAAAAAACGTATGCTCTTTAACAGTTAATATATATGTAAAGGGTGATTTAAAAAATTCTATATTTTCTCACGATGAATACTTTTGATGAAAAGTGTAAAAGTGAAAACTGTAATTTTCAACAAACATAAAACAAAATAATGTTGCTGAGTACTTTTCTGAAGAAATTTTCAGCATACCTGGTTGGCCATTTTCAAGTATCTTCCAACTCTTCCAAAGGGAAAATGTTCTATACTTTCCATTTTCTTTGTTATCAGTTCACAAGTGTGAAGCTTTTTTCTTTATAGTTGTTTACTGCTATATTTTAAAGGCTCCGTACCATTTTGGGTTTTCAGTTCAAATTCCAAAACTGTTGTTCTTTTACAATATTTTTTCTCCCTTGCAGGTAAAATTAGTATTTTCAAAAGAACCTTCAAAGCCATTGGCTCCACGAATTCTACCAAATCCTCTAGCAGCTGCAGCAGCTGCAGCGGCAGTGGCAGTGAGCTCCCCCTTCAGCCTTCGAACTGCTCCAGCAGCAACACTGTTCCAGACTTCTGCGCTTCCTCCAGCACTCCTGCGGCCAGCTCCCGGACCCATTCGGACCGCCCATACTCCTGTGCTGTTTGCTCCTTACTAAATTCCAAATAGGAGTAATTGTACTGCAATAATTTTACAAACAAAACAAAAGAGAACTATGCAGTGTTTATTTATAGTTTAAAGTATATCTGAAGAGCCAGGACTTTTGATAGTGAATTGAAAAGGTTACAAAAAGGGGGGGGGAGGGAGGGAGTGATATTTTCTCCAAATTAAAGCATTCCTCTTGAACGTTGATTGTTTTAGAAGTGATCTCCAGCATTGATTTGTAGTGGTATCTAGAACTTCTGAAACCTCTGTGACTGTGCTTTTGGGCACTATTTCCCTCTGCATTGTCTTTCCTGCTTTATGAAACAACTATACATTGTCTAAGGGCATTAACTGGTTCCAATGTATATACAATAATTTACTCTGTAGATTAAAATAATACAAAAAAGGAAAAAAAAAACAAAAACAAAAGCAACACTGTGAATAGTACTACCCATGCTGGTCCTATTGCTATGACAGCAATTACTGGGTATTTACCCCAACAAAAGTAGATACAGTAGATGTCTTGTAAAACAATAGTGCTGTGTCTCAATCTATGCCACTAGGTTTTAAAGAATCGCAAAGGTAGAATGAACAACTATTTCATACCAATAAGCAGTCAAAAAACAAACATACATCAGATGGTGTCATGGAGGTCTCCCTGGTTAGCATTCTCCCCTCCTGTATAGTTTAAAGATATAACAGAGCTGAGCTTAGAGATGGGGGAGGCATTAATAAAGGTGATTTCTTACAAAGTACTAACTTCCCATCCTGAAGATATATTGCTGGAAACTGGGAAGTGTTTATAATGAATCTACATCTGAAAACAAATAAACCCATGCATCGTGGGTGTTAAGAAAGAAATCAGTACGACTCTTCTGTTTCAAGGATGAAGGATTATAATGTAGAATGGCAATGTAAGGTCAAGATCTTTCACATTAGTACATATCCAATAAAAACAGAGAATATTGCATCTCTGCAGTATCCCCTTTATATCACACCAGTAGGATTGTTTCTTAGGCAAAGGTCTCTGCTTTAAGTATGATGGTAGAATTCAGCATTAGCTATTTTTATCGGTTTTTCTTGTTTTTTTTTTTTTTTTTTTTTTTTTTTTTTTTTTTTTTTTTTTTTTTTTTTTTTTTTTTTTTAGATTTCCTGCTGACATGATATAAACAATTAATATATATTTAAATCTTAATAACAACAGGAAATATGAATCTGAGTTAATTGCACACCAGTGACATAGTGTTAAAAAATACTGGTAAGTTCCACTTAACAATTATTTCTCCAGTGGAGCTGTGAAATACTGACAGCCTTTGACATTCACCATCAGGCTGAAAGAAGTTGATGTTTTACCTTTAAAACAAGATTTATCAGGGGTATATATAAATATATGTATATTGTATATATGTTAGAAAGATTAAGAGAATAACTTATAAAAAGAAAATCTATATAAAATAATTATATAACCATCCAGTGTTACATGTTATCATTTAATTGGTAACAGATGGCATAAAAATAGCTGTGCCTTTAATTTGTGATAAAGGCTATTTGATTTTTCCCATAGAAAGCTAACATATACCTATCGATATGGTGGGGTTTGATGCAGCCAGTCTGTTGCGTTAATAGGAACAATGACATTCAAACTTAGAATAATGGCCAAACATACGTGATTTAGGTTTAAAGAAAAAAAAAAACTATTTTTGAAAAGGTTTTGTAAAGACTATTTAAAAATATAGGGAAGGATTGGGTGTGGCCTTCCTGAAACTGCTCTCAAAGTGTTGTAACCCTTGGAGAGGTATAAAGAATCAAGTGGAAACCATTTGAGAGATAGGTATTTGGCATTTATCATTTTATATTTAAGAAACACCCATAGCGTGCTTGGTGCTCAACATTAAACATGGTTTTTGGAGTTCTTCTCTACCATCTAGCTATAGACATTTGTCATCTAAATCAATCTTTAAAGCATTTGGCTTTATATATCTTTTGTTAAACAACCAACCAAAAAAANAAAAAAAAAAAAAAAAAAGGAAGGAAGGAAGGAAAGAGGGAAGACAATGTGTTCCATCAGTATTCTGGTAGAAAGAATTTCAAACAATGCTTCTCTGGTTAAACATATTGATTAGCATTCAAATTTGCTTTAGAAAGTGTTTTCATTTACCAGCATCTCTATTCTCTGGTTTTAGCAAGTGTTTTCTTTCTCACCTACAGACCCTGCTAGTTCAGCCTGGTGGATAGTTGCCGGCAAGTTTGTTGTTTGGGGCTCTGTCTGTATCCCATGAGACCAGTTTCTAACCGTTTTGAACTTTAGTTTGTCTTTTCTGCTATGTCAAATATATTGATTTTCCATAGTCATCCTGAATCCCTATCCAACAACCTTTACAACTGATAGAGCCTCGCTTTCTGTTAGAGAATTTAGTGTTAATTAATGCAATCTCACTAAATTGTGCTTTTGTTGTTGTTCTCCATTTTCGCCAAAGTGAATGAATGAGCCAGTCCACTAGAAATCAGGGCCTGTGGGATACACAGGGTCCTGGATCACAAGGCATTACTAACTTTAATGATTTGCTGGGAACAAACAAATCAGCCATATTTTCTCCATCAGCCATATGAGGAAACTCAGAAATACCTGAATCCCTTCTGCCTCACTTCGCTATGGAACCATTTTTGTTTAAATGGTCTTTTAAATTGGAGTTGTAAGCATCAGTTGTCTTTTACTCACTACCTAATAAAGGATGAAGCCTAACCACAGAACTTATAGTGGATTCTCTGTGAGTTGTTTCCCCACACTCCATATATTTATCAACACCAGATTAACATCTATTATAGTTCAGGCTGCCATAAAGCTGTATGTTTTCCCTTAGGGAACTTTTTTCATGCATAAAGATCCACAATTTAGATTGGTCAGCAGTGTGCTGTGAAAATCCCTGAGGGTGGTCTGACTTTAAGGCTATACATCCCTTCCATGCATCACACCCATGGCAAGGAAAGTGATGGAGAAAGCAGCTCTGATTCATTTGAAACAAATATAAATGCACTGCAAGAGCCAAATGCCTCTGGAAAAAGCATTGTTGCACCTCAACCAGATCATCCAGACAAATGGGAAACAGTCATTGGGGAGGTACTGTATTTCTCTCAAGAGAAAACAGGCGATTACGCATGATAAATTGCTCCTCTCACTGGACCTAAACTTTGAAGAGTACTTGTTTTATTCACATAAGCAAACATAGTTGGCTTTTTGCAATTTATGTCACTCCTGCCTCATTTGAAAGGATTTCTATCTTTAGGTACTATTGGGCTTCACCTGATCTATTACAGTAATTCATTGCCATTATCATCAGAGATGAAATTTGTTTTTTTTTTTCTAAAGGTCCTACATATTTTATTGCCAAGAAACTAGTTAGCAAAGAGAGTGTTTACATGTATTTGAAAATTGCAGGAAATCATAAAAGACTGACAATGAAAAGACAGCAGAAGTTTCAAAATGGAATCAAAGTGGCTGTGCCTATTTGAGTTTCTAAGGCACAAACCAAAACATAGTAGACATGAGCATTAAATATCACTTATTACAATTAAATTTTAAGTTAATATCTTTGTCTTTGTACTTGTGTAATGTTTCAATTGTTCTGAAGAAATCAGATCACAAATCTAAAGATAACTAAGGTGATATGTAGGCCTCTTTCTTTAAACCTGAATTGATATAGAAAATTACCTTTCTATACTTAAGCATGGATGACATTGTGTTAATAACTATGTGTGCACCTAAAAGCAGAATGAAGTGGTGGGGAAAGCAATCAGGAGCCTTAAAGAAGCCAGAGCCTATTTCAGACTCTGTCCCTGACCAACAGGGTAACTTAGTCAACTCATGCCTTGCCCTTAATTTCTTCTTTGGTAAAACAGATGATGGTGATTAACAGCTAAGCTGGTTTAATATATCAGCACTAGAGGAGTGCTGCTTTTATCCTCTCAGGAATAAAAATTCTTTATTTGAGTGACAAATATAGCTACTCACATACTTGCATGCGTCCAGAAAAATATTCTGTATTCCTTTCCATCCTGAGTGTAAGCCACATTGGTAGGTCATTCATCTGCTCAACCAGAATGTACATTTCACCAACTAATATTGGAGTAGTTGCTAATTCACTGAGTACTCACTTATTATGACTCCACTTATACCAACATCACGTAAGATATGCTATTTCTATTTTCCCAGTCAAGAAGGTAATAAATTCTGAACAAAACCAACCCTGAAAAGGCCAATGGAAAGCTGGAAGTGGGGATGTGGAAGGAACAATTTAAACACATCATCCTTATTTATTTTGTTACACTTTCTCTCTTCAATAGGAAGGGGTCCTGACTAAGCCATAACTAATTCTGTCCTTAGTTTGCATGGTCATCTTATTAAGACCAATTCTTCTACAGACAAGTATATCAGTTATACATTCCTATCACTGTTACAAAAATTATTTAAACTGAGTCCTAAAAGTGAAATTTTTACCTAACTTTTGCTGTTTTCTATTTTTATTTTTTTCCTAAATGGGGAGATTTCTCTCTGGAGCATCTCTTGTGTTTTTGTACAATATGCTTAGTAACTAGAGAGGCTATTATCAGAAAACGAAATGGATCATTTCTATAGTAGGTCTCCATTGTCTACATAGTATTTCTGAGAGTGGTATCAGGGTGTCCAGTGAAGGATGGATATGTTGGCATGTCATGCTCATGTGGCCCAAAGGTTGTTACTGCCAAGAATGGACTTACAGCTTACCAGAATGTGAATGGTGACGAAAGGCAGGTTCTGCTCTGAAAAAATATCATATGTTATTCTATTAGAAGTTCATGCAGGTCATGAAGAGTCGCAGAGTTTAAAGAACTCTCTGGTTGGCTCATCAATGTTCAGATGTCAAAAGACTGAACATTACCTTCAATTTTAGGGTCTTCTCTTTCTTTATCTCAGTGATGGAAACTCATCCTTCCTAGGTGCCTAAGTTGACGGTAGAAACTGCTAAAGTGTATTCGACAAATAAAGTAAAATCTGATTATTAATATGTATGATCAGGTAGAGTAAATTAAATTTTGGTTAACTAAGACAGCAAAGAATGGGGTCATGTTATTTTCAAGACTGGCAGCTCATCTCTAAAGGCAATTTTTAAAGAGTAGGGCTAAAATGATTTGTGAGCAAAGAACTATAATTAAAAATAAGTAATAGTACAGTGACATGTTCTAAGGTTAATGCTTACATATACACACATGCACATACAGAATTGTAAAAATAGGAGTCTTAGTACCTGTCATCCTTTCACAAAGCCATGGTAAAATCATTTTATTCTCAATGATTAGGTTGGTTTTACTCTAGGAAAAGGAACTCCAATTTCACACTTGGGAATCTTAATTATTTTAGGGCATTGGAGGGGTTGGGAAGCAGACATAATGGTAAGGTACTTTGCTCTCTAGCAAGGTTATTATGCTAACAGTTTGAGTTGGGTAATGCAATTGTCTCATTTCACATCAGCTACTGACTTGGAGTATAGAAATCAAACCCTTATAAAATCTTCCTCAAATCCAAGTAGTTTGCAGGACATGGTATAACACTAAGGAAAATTAGCGGAGTGAGCCTTAATTGGAAACCCAGATTGTATTTTTGTCAGTATAACAATTATTATTTTTAAAGTCTCTCAGTAATAGGATTGTTCAACATAAATCTATTGAGAAACGATGATGTCAGAGAGTTTTGAAGCTATAGTGAAAGT